ACCAAATTATAGAGAAAAGCCACGGTAAGACGATTAAAATATTTGATCACATTTATCAAGGAATTACATTAAATTACAAAGAAAACTATTGTTGTTTTTTACATTTTTAAACATTTTCTGTGAAATAAAATAATTTGATCGTCAGATCGAGGCCTAAGCCATTTTTAAGTGCTGTTAAAATATATACCTATAATATACGTAACCTTTAATGATTACGGTCCCTGAAAAGTATTGTTTAAATATTTATTCGGCGCCAAAGTGTGACCCAACTTTACAACAAAATTTACATCACATTTATCTGCATTTTGTATGGTATTATCAAGAATATAATGCAGGGTCACATCATTTTTAAATTTGTTGGAAAAAGTGAAAAAAAAGTGAAAATAGTTAATTTTAATCTAAAAAACAATAAAAAGGTGAGTGATAAAATGAATTTTGTTGTTTTATAACCTTTATTTCAGCGTTACAAAGGTTAGTATCACAGATATTTTCGCCATTAATAAATATACGCCTCCGGATGCTATCTTCAACACAAATTGTGCATTTCAGTGACACTTGAAATGTTTTTAATCTTTACCAGTGGTAAATGGTGTGAGGTGTTCATTAAATGGTTGTATAAATAGTACTTCAGTACTAACTTAGTTGTTTAACTTAATCAAAATATTACATTTATTTCAGCCAGGCCGACTGAGACTTCTTGGGACCAGAAGTGTTGCGCCTGCGTTTGTCATATTTTATTATACCCTTGCAGAGGGTATTATGATTTCAGTCAGAAGTTTGCAACGCAGTGAAGGAGACGTTTCCGACCCCATAAAGTATATATATTCTTGATCAGCATCACAAGACGAGTCGATCTAGCCATGTCCGTCTGTCCGTCTGTCCGTCTGTCCGTCTGTCCGTCCGTCTGTCCGTCTGTCCGTCTGTCCGTCTGTCTGTTTCTACGCAAACTAGTCTCTCAGTTTTTGAGCTATCAGGATGAAACTTTCCCAAAAGTCTTCTTTCTATTGCAGGTAGTATATATGTCGGAGCCGACCGGATCGGACAACTATATCTTATAGCTCCCATAGGAACAATCGGAAAAAAAAAACTTTAAAAAATTCTAGCTTCGGTGTTTTTTGAAATATTACCTTCTACTTTTGGGGATGTTATCACTATGGACGGCAGTCCATGTAGTGACGAAGCGCACCAGGAGGGTGTGCGAAGGCGACTACTATATATACACGAAGAAATGAAAATCTACTGTGATGGTCCGATCATAATGAATGATACACCTATCGAAAGGTATTGCGAAAACTAACAGGATTGCATACCAAGACTCTAAGAAAATCAATTGGCTTGGGAGAGAGAGCGGTGAAAGTAAAAAAGTGAATATTTCGAAATTTGGAGCTGTTGGGGCCGGTGGGGATAATTGCCCCCTCTCAATGTTTTAGTTGTATTCCTTTTGAAAATACCCGTCGAATGAGGGGTCATTTGTCAAAATCCGACGCTCCGTTCAAAAGTTATAGCCAAAATAAGATTTTCTTCGTCTTCCCAAAATGAAAATTTAATTCTGTTTGTCAGTTTGTCAGTTTGTCAGTTTGTCCAAAACATGTTTTCTAAGTTTTGAAAATTTGATATGACGTTCATCACATCGATATAAAAAACTTTTGTTCTACCACTTTTGGAAAAACTCGCTAGTCTAGCGGGAAAACAGCTATAAGTAGCTAAAATTCGGAAAGCCGTAACTTCTATACTACTAAAGCTACAGACTTGTGCCACATCTCGTTTGAAAGGTATTTTTAAATGCTATAAACGCCTTCTATATGCAATTTGTAAATGTAATAGTTAAATAGATATGAACAAAAGACAATTTTTTAAAACTTTTTTTTTTAGCTTTTTTTTAATTTTTCTCAAAAACGGCTTTAACGATTTTCTTTAAAACTTTAAACTGTATAGCCCTTGAGATTCCTTAAATTTTGGTATATCACACATTACTGTAAAAAGTCACGTTTAAAAGTTATTTTTATACGAAAATAGCCACTTTTGCAAGCTCGAACTACTAACGCTCCCTGAGTATTGAATTTTGTGTGAGGGTATCCGAACTGTATTTTAGGGTCATGGAATCAGTAAATTTGCACTTAAGAGTTCCATATAGGAATCTTTTGTTCTACGACTTTTGGAAAAAGCCGCTACTTTAGCGGGAAAAAGCTAAAAATAGCTACATTTCGTTAGTTTGTAAGTTCTACACTACTAAAGGTACAGACATGTGCTATACCTCGTTTAAAAGGTATTTTGAAATACTTCAACGCCTTTTTAACTGAATTCGTTAAAATACAATAGTTTAAAAATTATGATTTATGACCAATTTAAATTTAAATGTTTATATTAGCACCTATGAGAGCAAAAGTAAACAAACAAAAACTTCTGATATCAAATAAAAACACCTCTTAACGAGGTAAAAAACTAGTGACGAACGCACCTTCAACATACAAAAGTTCTGATATCAACATTTGTGACGAAAAATTATTACACTCGTCATTAAATAGACTTTCTAATATTTTCTCATTCGGCACGCTGCAATAGAAAATGCCTGTGAAGGGAAAAAGGCTGGAATAGTTTGCTAGGGCGGGCCGAATGAGAAAATATTAGAAAGTCTATTTAATGACGAGTGTAATAATTTTTCGTCACAAATGTTGATATCAGAACTTTTGTATGTTGAAGGTGCGTTCGTCACTAGTTTTTTACCTCGTTAAGAGGTGTTTTTATTTGATTTTTTAAATATATCTGAATTTCGAATTAATTATTTAAAAAATCGGACTACTATATCATATAGCTGCCATAGGAACGATCGGAAAATTAATGGAAAAGTAATAGGAAATAAATTCTAGCTTCTTTGGATTTTATTGTATTATCTTCTACTCTAGGATATGACACTTTTTAAATATTTCCGAATTTCAATTTTAATTTAATCAAAATCGGACGACTATATCATATAGCTGCCATAGGAACGATCGGAAAATTAATGGAAAAGTAATAGGAAATAAATTCTAGCTTCTTTGGTTTTTATTGTATTATCTTCTACTCTAGGATATGACTCTTTTTAAATATTTTCGAATTTCAATTTTAATTTGATCAAAATCGGACGACTATATCATATAGCTGCCATAGGAACGATCGGAAAATTAATGAGAAATATTAGAAAATTGAACATTTTTGCGATTTGTTAATTAATAGGAATGATCTGCAAGGGTATATAAGCTTCGGCTGGCCGAAGCTAGCTTCCTTTCTTGTTTTTTCTTCTCATAGTTTTTGATATAGATACCCGACATAAAACAACTGAACAGAGGGTAAATGATCGGCCATGGCAAACCAGGCATAATTTCTGGAGAGATCCTTTAATTTTGTGCGGAGACCTAATAATGGTAATTACTCTTATTATTATTCCTGGTCTTACATTCATATCTAAATTATGTTTGATATTTTCAGAAGACAGACAAGAAATGGATATCTAAGAACTGCATTCGGCCAAGCAAAACCCGGGAATGCTTCAGGCATTAAAAATTTGTAGTTCCAATGCTTCGATTGTAAATATTATTAATAAATACACAAACAAATATTACAAAAAACATGATTTTTATTGTGGAAAATCAGATACTGCAAAGCAGTGCAAAACCAAAACTGCGGGGGTCTGGAAAAACCAAAACTGGGAGGGTGTAGAAAAGCAGATATTGCAAGTGGAGGAAAACCATAACTGGGTACGTGTGGAAAATCTATAATGCGGGAAGTCGAAAAACCAGTGGATTTTGTCCTGCATTCTTCTGCCAGAGATCCAGATAGAAACCTCATTTCCCCCTTACTTTTTGTGTCACTCCCGTGTATTTTGAAACCAGAGATGGAAGAAATGTAAGGGGTGAATGAGGTTTAGTCCCTTCCGCTTCTATGGAGAAACCTCTTGAAAATATGTTATTTTCCAAAGGAATTTTCCCGGTGGGTAAGCATAAGAGCAAGCGGGAGGCAAATAGGTAGCTAAAGCCTTTAGCTGGGTACTTTTTTTTACCGGAATTCATCCACTAAATTTGGTATTTTTTTAGTATTTCCTTACTATTTCTTTAGCTCACTTGAGTACCGCGGTGATACGAGGGTGGTCCGATAAGTACTTAGCCTCCAAAAAAAAACGATTTATTTCTTAACATAATTTCTTTATAGCTCGATACACTTGACCCAACGATGCTCCAACTTCTTTAACCCGTCTGAAAAATACATTTTCGCGAGGTCTGCAAAATAGGCCTCTGTGGAGGCGACGACCTTCTCATTCGACACAAACTTTTATCCAGCGAGAGACTTTTTCAAGTTTGGAAACAAAAAGAAGTCACACGGGGCCAAATCTGGAAAATATGCTGGATGGGGTAGCAGTTCGTAGCCCAATTCGACCAATTTGGCCTTGGCGAGGGCGGAAGTGTTTGTTGTTCGGAGTGAGCAAACGCGGCACCCATCGCGCTGATCAGCTTTCTCATGCCCAAAATTTCATGCAGGATATGAAATTTTGACATGCGTACTGTCTCAGCTATCTCGCGTATCTTCAATCGGCGGTCTGCCAAAACGCGATCATGGACTTTTTGGACGTTATCCTCCGTGGTAGCCGTTTTCGGGGCACCTGGGCGAGGCTCATCAAAAACAGACGTGCGACCACGTTGAAACTCGTTAAACCAATTTTTCACGGTCGCCATCGAAGGCACGTATGATGCCACACGCTGGCAAAACAAAACTACGAGTCCGATTCGGCTGAAATTCGACAGTAGCCGTCTACTAGAATGTACTACACGATAGAAAGTTTTCTTGCGATAGTGACGCCATCGGACGATGAGGCTAAGTACTTATCGGACTGGCCTCTTAAAAGGCACCGGCTAAAGGCGTTAGCTTCCTATTTGCCTCTCGATTACTCCTATGTACAAATACTTAGCTAGCTAGTATGCTTTCAAGGCTAGGTTATTAGGCTTTAAGAAAATACATTGCCCAGTGTATTAATAGTAAGTCCGATATTTATTACTTTTTGAAGCAATTTTTTTTCTTTGGCATAAGGTGACTGGATGTAATATTTATAAATGCCAAAAGTACAGTCTTAAATCATGTATAAGCAATGACAAGATGACTTCGATTCCTTTGGTAAGTCTGAATTTAGATCATTAATAGGTTATAAGGTTATTGTGATTGTGATTGTAAATTAGGGCTATGCAGTTGTTCGTTCAATTTGAATAGTTGCATGATTTATCTTGTATCTTGGGCCAGCTACGAGTTCTGATGCCGCCTGCAGCACCGTATTGTCGTCGGTTGGAGAGTCTGCAACGCATATGAGAGGACGATGATGGTATTGAAGATCGGTAGGTTTTTCATACTCACTTGTGATGAGATGCACCATCATTACCCTTTGCTGAGTCGTTTGCTGCCACACGTTTAGATGGTGCACAGATCTGTCAATAGAAATTACTGTTTACAATGGGGTTGATTTAAAAGATTCCTTGGGTTTATTCACCTAACCCCCTCGAGACTAGCCAACTCGCAATGTAGGGTGCGCAAACTAAGATTTTGTGGAACTGCATTCACGAGTATGGAAACGGACTCTCTAAACAGCTGAACCGTCGTCATTATTACGATAATTGAGAAGAGTAGAGTGCACAAGGGATCGACATATTTGGCACTTGGCTGAAAATGTTCATATTATAAATTAGAAAGCGTGAAATAGGCAAAGATAAAGTTTTGAAAGATCATAACTTATATGAGGTGTGTAAAACTAAAAACTTTCGAAAGTATGTCGAAAGAAACTTTTCTGACTTACCCAGAAAAATGAAGAAAAAACCGAGATTATTTTTAATTTGAGAATTTTATCCTATTACTTTTTATACCCTTGCAGAGAGTAGGGGAGAGTGGGGGAATTTCGTCAGCATTTTTTCAAAGCTATTTTTTGTCCATCTTGAGACACGTTATCATATTTCTATTTTTATTGTTGAATGCGGTTAGCACCAAGCTTTAAAATGTGACATTCCCCTATTTTTTTAATTAGCTTGGTGATTTATAAAAAAATAAAATGTAAAACCAATATACTGGGGCAATCTCACCACACAGGGGGGTAAAATCACCACACAACTGGGGAAATTTCGTCACCTGAAAAATGTAGGGAGTTTAACGCCTGAAAATATGCTACACTGATCAAGCGTACCATTTTTGTTGACGTCCTATATTTGTTGCTGCTGCTGGTAGTCTGTTCGTTAGCCAGCTCGTCAAATATAAAAATATGTATTTAAAATAGGTGCGAATTTACCCTTAGCGTAGGGTGGCGAAATTTCCCCAGACCGTACTTTTTTAGAAATAATTATTTTTCTTGCGAAAATAGGCGCGAAGTTAAAAATCACTGACGCAGAAATGCACATTATAGCACTGTGTATTATATAAAAAATCGTGTATCTTATTCCTTTTGAATTGTGGCATACAGAAAAAATTTCGTCGAGAACTAAATGTAGCTTTTGAACTGTTAAAACACATTTAATATTATAGCTTAATTATCTTGGCCTTCTGTGCAAAACAAATGCATTGGTTGTGTCTGGCCGTCTTGAAGGACTAAAACAAAAAAATTATATATTTTTACGACTTATGGATTCCGAGATATTGCAGGTGACGAAATTGCCCCTGTGACGAAATTCCCCCACTCTCCCCTACTATAATTTTAGTATTGTCGGACAGTCACTTGCAACAGATAAACGGTCCTAAAAACTAAACCGAATGGGTCGAACTTATTGTTATACCCGTACACGTAGAGTAAAAGGGTATATTGCATTCGTGCAAAAGTATGTAACAGCTAGAAGGAAGCATTTCCGACCCTATAAAGTATATATATTCTTGATCAGGATCACTAGCCAAGTCGATATAGCCATGTCCGTCTGTCCGTCCGTATGAACGCTGAGATCTCGGAAACTATAAAAGCTGGAGGATTGACATTTTGCATTTTGTGTTTGGGGGTACGAGGTTCAATTCCTGCTCACAACACAACTTTTTTTTTTTAATGAGTAAACTAACAGCTTAACTTATTTGATACATTTTTCTTCTTATAGTTGTAAAGGAAATATTAATTGAAATACAATTGAAAAACTTTTTACTTTCTTTGACTCAGTGGCGGATCTAGGATTTTGTTGTGGGGGGTGATATCAGAAGAATTTTTTTGTTGCATACTTTTTGAATATCAAAATTTCTTTCCGTGGATCCGCGCATGCTTTGACTTATTTGGTTTTTGAAGTAAGAAATTCGGTCTTAGATTTTTTCGTTCTTTTTTTTCTAGGTGTAGATTTTTTTTAAACTCGGGTACCTCGTAGAGTTTGGCTTGGTTATCATTTTTGATTTATTTGAAATTAAGAACTTAAAAAATGTTCTCAAACTTCAAATTAGTATATCTCGAGAACGGCTTAGAAGAACATCGTGCAAATGTGTATGTGTTTTTAAATGTGTATTGGAGGAGTTAGAATCACTATTGGCGGCAGTCCATGTAGTGACGAATCGCACCAGGAGAGTGTGCGAAGGCGACTACTATATATACACGAAGAAATGAAAATCTACTGTGATGGTCCGATCATAATGAATGATACACCTATCGAAAGGTATTGCGAAAACTAACAGGATTGCATACCAAGACTTTAAGAAAATCAATTGGCTTGGGAGAAAAAGAGGTGAAAGTAAAAAAGTGAAAACTTCGAAATTTGGAGCTGTTGGGGCCGGTGGGGATAAATGCCCCCTCGCAATGTTTTAGTTGTATTCCTTTTGAATGAATGAGAATGAGAAAATATTAGAAAGTTTATTTAATAACGAGTGTAATAATTTTTCGTCACAAATGTTGATATCAGAACTTTTGTATGTTAAAGGCGCGATCGTCACTAGTTTTTTACCTCGTTAAGAGGTGTTTTTATTTGATATAATTTTCTTAAATTCTGTGTTGTCCAAAAAATATGAATTTTAATTATTTTAAATTTTTTATCGCGGTTTTGAAAATCTTCTTCATTCTATAAAATAAACTTAACTATCCAAGATTGTCTATCTCATAACCAACTTAATTTACTCGTAGAAACATTTTTGTTCCTTTTCATCATTTCGAAGATATATAATTTTTTATGCGAGTTTAGAAAAATCGTATTTATATTTCCAATTAATGGGAAAGTAATAAGAAATAAATTTTAGCTTCTTTGGTTTTTATGGTATTCTCTTCGGCTCTTAATTTAATCAACATTTTATCATAAATTTTAATTATAATTTTATCAAAATTGAACGACTATATCATATAGCTGCCTTAGAAAAGATCGAAAAATTAATTAATTTGGAATTAAATTTAAGAAAAATCGGGCGACTATATTATATAGCTGCCATAGGGAAGGATACAAACAAAAATGTCAAAATAATACGAAATTTAAAATTTTGGCGATTTGTAAGTTAATAGGAATGATCTGCAAGGGTATATAAGCTTCGGCTGGCCGAAGCTAGCTTCCATAGCGCCCCTAAATGGACACCAAAATTTTTTTTTAAAGTCACTGACTTTAGAGGGGCGGAAACGCTTCCTACTACCTGATACATACTTTTGCACGAAAACAATACACCCCTTTAATCTAAGAGTAACGGGTATAACAAGAGAGAACGCTATAGTCGGGTGCCCCGACTTTCAGATACCCGTTACTCAGCTAAAGGGAGTGCGAGCGAGATAGAGATATTAAACTTTGGGATATGTTGCCCATAGTACTTATTCAAGAAATTTTTGAAGGTAGTATTACTAAGCACATTCCTTGGTATGTTAGCCGCACTAAACTACAATTTTTATCGAGTGCACTTAACTCTTTTAAACAGCTTTGTTTGCATACATTTTGAAAATTTTTAAATCACTAATAGATTTTTGATATATTTTGCATATGGGCACTTCCAAAATGTCGCTCGGGACATTTGCACACAGTGTTTAAAATCTAGCAACATGTTTTAAAGATTCGGATTTTGCTTTCGATTTTTGTTTGTAGATTTTTCAAGTCAAATCAAAGGCAACATATTGCTTTTGAAATTTTTCAAACTAAAACAGCAGCCAGATTTTTGCTTTTGAATTTGATAAAGCTGAAACAGCAGCCAGATTTTTGCTTTTGAATTTTTAGCTGGCTGAAACAGCAGCCGAACTTACGACTTTTGTAGATTTTTAAATCCAAGCAACAGCTGCTTTAAAGTTTTAAATAAATTTATCTCAAAAAAACAAAAAATCATTTCTGATATGGCTGCGAACACAAATGAGTTGTGGGATTTTTTTGAAAAGCACGATGGTGAAGATTTTGCTATCTGCAAAACTTGCAAAAAGAAGCTCCGGACCAACAAAATAAGCAATCTTAAGGCTCATTTAGCCAATATTCATAAAATAATAGTTAATGGACGTAAAAAAAATCAATTGGAAACAAAAGATATTGGGCTAAAAAAACCTCGAGCTAAAAAGATTGACATTAAAATCTGCAAGAAACAATTAATACGTTCTTATATTGGACTTGTAACCGATGACAGCGTGCCATTTAATGTATTAAATTCACAAAACATGAGAAATATTTTGGATCCAATCTGTGAAGGACTTTACGCAAAAGATGGAAAGAAGCTAACCCTAAATGCATGCAATGCTAAAAAAACATTGGCGACCGTTGCACAAAATGTGAGAATTGATATGAAGAACGAGGTAAGGAACCGGTTACTCTCATTAAAGATAGACTGTGCAACCAGGTTATGCAGAAACATTTTTGGCATAAGTTCTCAATTTATTTCAAATGGTCAAATAATGTCTCGTATTTTGGGTATGGTAGAGCTCAAAGGTGCTGGGGCAAGCACGGCCAAAAACCTTGCTGCTGAAGTCCTAAAAGTCCTCCAAAAGTTTGATATCAATTTAAAACAAATATTATCAATTACATCGGATAACGGAGCTAACATGATCCGGGCCACAAAACTTTTGTCGGCTATTACTGAGGAGGAGGACGAAGATAACTGTACCAATGATGAATACCTCGAAAAAATTAAGTTAATGGAAAAAACTCCAAATATGTCAGTAGGAAATGTAGTCGTGTGTCGTTGTGCTGCTCACACAGCTCAACTCTGTGCCCTTGATGTGACGAAATCACCAGACGTATTAAAATATTTAATAACCTGCCGTAACTTAACCAAATATATAAGAAAAAATTCTAATGGATATCGAGACATTTTTACGCTTAGATCATTGAAAATGCCCCAGCTAGATTGCCCAACTAGGTGGGGATCAACGTATACTATGATTGAAAATTTGAAGGAAGCCAAGGAAGTACTAATTAAAATCGAGTCTATTAAAAACAAAAACCAGAACGAAAACTTTGAATTAGACTCCTATTTGTGGGAGTTCATTGAAAGCTATTATACTGTGCTGAGCCCATTGCAAAAAAGCATCATGAAATTTCAAGAGGAGCAGTTGCATTATGGAAATTTTTATGCTCAATGGTTAAAATGCAGATTATTAACTGCCAAAATTATAAGTGATTCAAAACAAATTTTAGTGTCTACCATTGGAGGAAAAATTTTGGAGTCTATTACAAATCGAACAAAAACTTTGATGGAAAACAAAGTACTATTATCATGTCTTCACCTTGATCCACGGTTCCATTCAACATTGACTGGTGATCAAAAATTGGAGGCCATTGAATATTTATACACACTTTGGGACAGACTTAACGATGTTAGTCCTGCTGGCAACATTCATTCAGAATCTGCTCAAAGTGAAAAATTATTAAATACCACTTCTGTCAGCATGGAAGATGACTTGTTAGATGAGTATTTGGCACAAGGAATTCTAAGTAATACAGTCAGCACCAACGACATATATTCCAAAATCAAAAATCTTCAATTGCCTCCCATGCGAAGTGATGCAAATGTCCTTAGCTTTTGGAAAGAGAAACAAAATACGGATCCAGAATTATATGCTCTTAGTAATGTCTGCTTTGCGGTACCCCCCACACAGGTAAAAAAAATATATATTTTCCTACTTTAAATAAAACTAAAGTACTATATATTTTTTTCCTTTTCTTTTTTTTCTCAGGTTACTATTGAACGAGCATTTTCGACTTTAAAGTTGGTCCTTACCGACAACAGAAATCGACTGAGTGAAGAAACACTGGAAAACATATTGCTAGTCAAGTTAAATCCAAATTTTTTAGATGCTGCAATAGATACTTTGCCGCTTTTTCAAAACGATGAATTTGAATAAAAAGGGTTATGTCTAGCAATCCGTCGTTTTTTAAAGCTATTTAACCATATTTTTCTGTAACAAAAACATTTAATGTAACATTGAAATTAAGCAAATCTAATCTATAATCAACCTGTCAGAAACAGACTATATGTGCCTGATTTCAAAATCTACAAAAGCAGAAATTTAGCTGCTGTCTCAGCTAGCTTGAAATACATAAACAAAAATCCGGCTGCTGTTTCAGCTAGCTGGCAATCCAAAAATCCAGCATTTTGCCTATTCGGGCTTTGCTTTTACTGTTGGCTGTAAGTTTATCAAAAAGCCAAATCTGAAGTAAATTATTTTTGTAAGGCTTTCAAATAGTCAAAGCACCCCAAAGCTAAAATTTAACAGATTTTGCTGCTTATATCTCAGCATTTCTAATCGGCCCGACTTCTCTGGTCACCCGAGCGTCAGATGTGAAAAAAATTCATAAGTGATGGACGTGATTTTCAAGCGGATAAGAGGTGAAGCCTTTTTCCAAATATTCAAAGGTATGTAAATATGTATATGATTTTTTGTATAGCGCGCGTACAATTGTATGTACATATGGGCACTTCCAAAATGTCGCTCGGGACATTTGCACACCTTTAAAGTTGAAAAAAAAATTGTAAAACAATGGATTTTAATTTTAATTATGGGCTTTTCTTTTCACTTTTCCCAAGCTCTATTTTTGGTAAAAATCTTGATTTCGTACCACATTTAGTTTTTAAGATATCGGTAAAAAACTGCTGTATTCGCTCGGGACAAAAATAGAAGTGGATTTCGGGGAAGTTCATACAACACCAGAAATTAGCGAATTCTGATGGAATATTTGAATGCGATTTTTTTTAGAATGTTTTTCAAACATGTCGCTGTGAAATGCTTTTGGTTTCACTCAAAAATTCTTTGCCGTTTTTTTTTTTATGCAGTTTCAACCACATTCGCTCGGGACATGTCGCTCGGGCCTTTTTTTTGACTGTTTTGTAAAGCGGATTTCGTTACCTCTATCTCTCAATTGCTGGATGTTTTGCTTTAAACTTAATAGTTTAGCATGTGAATGAAGCATTCAGTACAGAAAAATGTCACATATTAGCATTCCTAATGGATAAATTAACAACAGAAAACAGGTCCAAAAAATAACAAAAAAATAGCCAAAAACTGATTTTTGCGTATATTGGTGGGGTTTGTCATAAAAATAATCAAACTATACTCCAAATTTGTAGTTAAGCTCAGTATTCAACTAATTAGAAACTAATATCGGGGCAAAATCATGTGGAAATATGTTTTATTCAAGTTTCAAGGTTTTTGGCTTGGTGGACTTTTTTTTGGAAGTGCCCATATGTTTTCCATCTATTTTGCATATTTCCGATATGCATCTGAATTTATTTTATTTGAAAAATATGACACCTACCTAAAAATTTTGGTAAAATTCGGACCAAAAATGGGCAAATATGCTAAATCCGATCACTGATCCTGATAAAAAATATATATAATTCATAGGATCGGAAACGCTTTCATCTACCTGTTACATACTTTTGTACGAATACAATATACCCGTTTACTCAACGAGTAACGGGTAAGAAACCTATTTTTGACCAGAAATCGATTTGCCTTGCCCAGTGTGCAGCGAATTAATTATACCCGCTACCCGTAAAGCAAAAAGGTGATAAGAATTAAGTGATAAAACTTATTTGCGCATGTATTTTTTAAGAAAAACTTCCTAAATCTTAAAAGTGAAACGAAAACAATTAATTTATCTGGACTATAAACTCACGCAAAATTTGATCAGGACGGCAGCAAGAAAAACACCTATGCTTTGCACCAGATCCCCAATCACATGTATCATGGCTGCTCGCAAGTTTAAGTTTTTTTCTTCGTGAGAATTTTGCGTGGTTTCTGACCTGCAAAGAAAAAAAGGCAGAGAAAATAATATTATAGGCCTTAATTAAATAGTTATCGAAACATAATCTTTATGAAATTTCAGCTTTAAAAAATGGTTGCGACAAACAAATTAAGCTTGGATTGAACGGAAATTATTCTCAGTAGGCTATGTTAAATGTAATTGAATCGTTATTTTTGCTCTAAGGTTCAACTCTTTAAGCGTTATGACCTACCCAGTCTGCTGTAATGGCTTCGACCCATTTATTATAACAATATTTTCCACGTTTGGATCTTTATCGGTCGTGTTCGATGCCGCCTTTTTTAGAGAGCTGCGAGTCGTCGTAAGTGAATTCGAGTCTGAATGAGTGTGGGAGGTACCGTTATTGTGCTCGTGTCCATTTCCGTGACTGTGGCCGTGTCCTGTGCCGCTTACAAAACAGGAGCCATGCAAAATGAACATCATTCTGTTTAAAATTTGTTTAGAAAAAAGGTACATTTATTGGAGAAAGGAAGACAACATCTTTTTATACACCCAAAAAAAAAACCGAAAGTTTACATTTAATGAGCGTTGTATTAAAAGTATACTACAGCTAGTATCAAACTGTCAGTATTAATTCAAAACTAAATAATGTAAGGACAAGATTCAATAGTGTTAAGTTAAGACTAAATAGTGTTAAGTTTATATCCTGAGTTTAATTTTTAAACCGAAGTTTTCGATTTTCGTTCCTGGTGTGAAGCCAGGATGCTCTGGTTTGGAACCTGGACATTTCGAACAGAAAAAGTGTTACCGCTTTTTAATGTTATTCGACGCGTTAGTATTTTAATGGTTTGACATTAGTGTATTTTGTAAACGACGCTGCGGTCTGTTTAAAGTTTGTTTGTGAAAATTACTTGTTAAAATTTTAATATTTGCTTATTTTGGGCTTATTTGAAATGTAAGTACATTAAAATTGTGTCTTAGTGCATAACTAATGAGTAAATTCTTTTCTTTTTACTGACACCACCTTGAATTGCGCTCCAGATGCCGGGAAACTAAGGATCTTGCAATTGGCTTGCATTTTTTCTGACCGCGGCCAGCGCAATGTTAACTTTAATATCAGCGTCCTCGACCATGCTTCGGTATTCATCTGGACGGCGTCCACTCTGGAGATGATCAGCGACATAAGCGGTAAAACGGCTGCATTTGCCCAAATATGCATACATATGTACATATTTTGTACATGTATTGTATTTATGTTTATTTGTTAAATTAAAAATTACCTTCAGTAATTTATAAAAATGTAAAAATATTTTTAATAATATATAAAAAGTACAAAACAACATTTTTTGAATTTTGTCTCTTTAATACGGGGTATAATATTTATACTGGCATTATACTAAATAGTATACAAAAGAAACTAGCAGCCTAAATTTCAGTACACTGAGTGAGTATAAACTGTATACTCGTTAGTTTAAACTTGACAACTTCGAAAGTTTCATTTTTATACTTTCGAAGTCCATTAGTTTAATACTCAGAGTATCGAGAAATTTTTGACACTCAATAGTTTACTTTTAATGTAGAAATAGTTTACTTTCTATGATCATTTTTTTTTGGGTGTACCCTTGCAAAGGGTAAAAAGTTTGCAACGCAGTGAAGGAGACGTTTCCGACCACAAAAAGGAAATATATTCTTGATCACCACCAATAGCCAAGTCCATCTAGCCATGTCCGTTTCTATGCGAAATAGTCTCTAAGTTTTAAAGCTATCGCGATGAAACTTTCCCAAAAGTGTTCTTTCTAGTGCAGGTAGTACCGTTGTCGGAACGAGCCGGATCGGACCACTATATCTTACAGCTCCCATAGGAATAATCAAAAAAATAATAGAATAAACATTGTAACTCTGTAGGAAGTAGGCGTTTTGGTTTTTGACAATTTAAAAACAAGAGAGAACGCTATAGTCGGGTTGGTGTCCCGACTATTTAATACCCGTCACTCAGCTAAAGCGAACGCTGTACTCGGGTTGGTGTCCCGACTATAATCGTAGCTCAGCTAAAGGGAGTGCGAGGGAGATAGATATATGTAGATATTTTGATTGCGTATAACTTTTTAATGAATGGTCCGATTTGAAAAATGTCTTCTACATTTCGATAGGTATAAATATACACAACAAAATTGCATTCATACTTCTCGGAAATCTTTAAAGATGTGGGCGCAGGACACATTTTAAAATCGTTAGTGGGCGATTGTGGGCGTTAGAGGGGGCGTGGCGCTCGGCTGAAATAAACTTGCGCTGCGTAGGAAGCCAAAGAATATGTGTGGGAAATCTCAGCCTTCTAGCTTTGTAGTTTCTGAGATCTCAGCGTTCATACAGACGGACAGACGGACATGGCTAGATCGACTCGGCTAGTGACCCTGATCAAGAATATATATAATTTATGGGGTCGGAAACGCTTCCTTCTAGCTGTTACATACTTTTGCACGAATCTAATATACCCTTTTACTCTACGAGTAACGGGTATAACAACATTTTAAATATATGGGCGATTCTTTTACAAACCGAATACCTTTTATTGGGTCACATTTTTGATTTGCCTAAAACTTTTTTTTACGTACTATTCGGAAAATTAGTAAACACGTGTATCAGGATTTGACCGATTTTATCTAACATGTTTAAATAAAAATGTCTTAATATTTTATTATTAAATGGACACTTAAATAAATAATTGTTATTTTTTAATATTCAGAAATTGTTAAAGAACTTAAAACTTAACTTTTAATCATTAAAAATTGTTAAAGGACTAGTAAACGATGAGAAAACATGAATTCCATAAGGATCCGATAAGAGTGAGAGAGTAGCGTAACTTGCTGCAACGTTTTTTCACAAAAAGAAACCGAGGCCTTGTTTGTTTTTATTTTTAAGAAATTAAAAACTTATTTTTTTTAGTAAATTTTTTTTTTAAAGAAGAGGTTTTAGAGGAAATATTGTAAAAGACATGAAGTTAATCGGAATCACATAACAGGAGATACAGATTTTCAATGAGAGAGTGATTGTTAAAATTTAAAAATTTTTGGCAAATTTTGACCAAGCGGTAGCGTTTTTAAAGTCTAAAAGTAGGATTTCGTCCAAAGGGCCAGTCTGCAAAAATACCATTATATTTTTCTCAGAAAGCGCTATATTTAACGGATTTTATGCCACTGGTTTCAAAGTGGGATCTCTCTTGAGGAATTAGCTATGAATTCTTTTGTACGTTTTTGTAGTAGTTAACTGTCAGAAAAAACTAATAAGTAATATAAAATAATCGTATATGCTTTGGAAAAAATTAACAAATCAATGAAAAGAATTCATTGAGTCGATCTAGCCATGTCCGTCTGTCCGTCCGTCTGTTCGTCTGTCCGTCCGTCTGTCCGTCTGTCTGTTTCTACGCAAACTAGTCTCTTAGTTTTTGAGCTATCGGGACAAAACTTTCGCAAGTCTTCTTTCTATTGCAGGTAGTATATATGTCGGAGCCGACCGGATCGGACAACTATATCTTATAGCTCCCATAGGAAGGATCGGAAGAAAAAAACTTTAAAAAATTCTAGCTTCGGTGTTTTTTGAAATGTTACCTTCTACTTTTGGGGATGTTATTTTTTAAATATTTCTGGATTTCGAATTAATTATTTTAAAAATCGGACTACTATATCATATAGCTGCCATAGGAACGATCGGAAAATTAATGGAAAAGTAATAGGAAATAAATTCTAGCTTCTTTGGTTTTTATTGTATTATCTTCTACTCTAGGATATGACTCTTTTTAAATATTTCCGAATTTCAATTTTAATTTAATCAAAACCGGACGACTATATCATATAGCTGCCATAGGAACGATCGGAAAATTAATGGAAAAGTAATAGGAAATAAATTCTAGCTTCTTTGGTTTTTATTGTATTATCTTCTACTCTAGGATATGACTCTTTTTAAATATTTCCGAATTTCAATTTAATTTGATCAAAATCGGACGACTATATCATATAGCTGCCATAGGAACGATCGGAAAATTAATGAGAAATATTAGAATATTGAACATTTTTGCGATTTGTTAATTAATAGGAATGATTTGCAAGGGTATATAAGCTTCGGCTGGCCGAAGCTAGCTTCCTTTCTTGTTTTGTATGAATTAAGAGTGCAAAAATATGAATTTCAAAGCAGTATTTTATCGAAAATAAAGCAAAAAACCGCTAAAATATGGATTATCACGCCGCGTTAAGTTTGTAATTCAATTCCAAATCGATTAGCGTTTAACTCAAGAAAAAAAACTTGTATTCTTAAAAAAAATTGCTAAAAGTTTTTTAAAAAATTTGAGGGAATATTTTTAATTTAAGTTCGCCTTGAAATGTTACAACCGCTTCAAAATGTGATGGGATGTTTATCCTTCGACAGTTAAAAAAAAAATTAATGTCTACAATTCTTATTTTAAAAAAATGAATGCCAGAGATAGGATAATTTTAGGCTTAATTTTATTTCATCGGTCCCTTAAAACTAGACATCTGCATGACTGGAATCAAACAGGCTTTGAAATGATTCCATTCGAATAGAATAGAGTTGAGTAAATGCTCAGCACACTATGACTAGAATGGATTGCATCTTGGTCCGTATAGAGTATGACAGAAAAGGCCTAGAGTTAAACGAGTGATAACGAAAAACAGAATGTCATATTTGAATATGCTGAAATCATTCGAGTTATTCGAATCCATTCGATTTTCTTATATGACGTCATAAGGGCAAAATAGAAAATTAAATTTGTTTTGATATACATATATGTATGTCTATAAATAAGTATTTTTGTGATTTCTTATTTTCGAAATTACCAAGCTCCCCTTAGTTTAAACTCAAAACACATGCAAAAATCCACGAAAAAAAAAAAAATATGGAAAAGCAATTAGTTTTATGAACATATCCCAGAACTAAAAGATCCGCCTCTATCGCCACAGATAAAGAAAGGAATGGTCTTCCTTGGACCGCGACTTCTTAGTATTGTCATCCTGGAGTTTGTTAGATAAATTCTTAAGAAGTTGCGGTCCAAGGAAGACCATTCCATTCTGCCTCTTCACTACACTATTTTGTACTTCTCCTCCTTGGTCCGCGAATTCTTAGGATTTAAATATGAAAATGGCATGGTTGGATTCAGTGGCGAGCTAAAACTAAAGGTAGATTTGTAATTTAAAAAAAAGACAAAAAACCAAATATTTATGTAAGTATTTCAAAACAAATTTAATTTTCCATTTTGCCCTTATGACGTCATGTAAGAACTCGAATGGATTCGAATAAATTCGTCTGAGTTGTTCGTGTACTCATTTACTCGATTCGTTTTCCATCACCATTTCTGGTTCGACTGAGTTTTACGTCAGTACACTTATTTATTCAAGCCAGTTTCCCTACACATTCCAACTCATTCAACTCATTTTGAACATTGTCAATTCGAATATGTATTTTTTGTTATTCATG